TTTTGTCTTCTTTTAGTTGATAGCAGTGGAAGTCGTGATTGAGTGCTGTCAAATGATTTATAAGTTTTTTATAATCATCTTTAGTATTGGTGTTAATCTTTATATCGTTGACTCGAGAAAAACACCGGAAGTTGGTCGGTCCGATCAGATTAGCTATTTCTTGACCGAACTGAATGAAATTGTCAATCTTGCTTACATAAATCGGAGGTGCACTGGTTCAGTGAAAGTTCTAGGTTCAGTGATTTCGTTAATTTTATTATTGGCTGTAACAGAATTGTTACTGGATGTGTTAGTTGATGGTTTAGTGTCAGGTTTCATAGCTGAATTATTACTAGTTTTTGATTGTTTATTTACTTTGAGAGCTTGCTTTGTTTTAGCGGATTTGTTTTTTTTTTTTTAGGTGAGTTGCCCGCCGAACCGGGGGCAGAGTTTCTATGGCGCTTTTGGAGAGTTCGCCTTGTTAAATATTGAGAATCAGTCTCACTGATTTCGGAGAAAGGAGTCTCTTCATCTGATTCGTCAAAAGAAATGTTCTTATCAGAATCCATACCTCTAAATAATAATATATACAAAAAGAAGAGAGAAAAAAAAAAAGTATCACTAATAAGAAAATTTACAAAACAAATACTTAATAACTAATCTATTTACAAATATATATACAAATATTAAAAAAAACATTTTTATAAATAAATAAAATAGAGTCAGTAGAAAAAAAAATATTAAAATAAAATAATCAATTAAGAAATAAAAACAGAGAAAAAAAAATATATACTGTCTTAGGTACGAACTCAAGATATTCTGAACGTAAAATAAAGCGCCGTGACCTTGAATTTGAAAGATAAGACCCGCTGAGGGGAAATATCTGCCACGTAAACTGTCTCTAGCAATCGAGTACCAATTTAATGTTGCTAATTGTTAATAAAAGTCACTCACCTCACTGATTGTAATGTAAAAATGTTAAATTGTTTATAAACTCACTGTTTACAAAGTCTGAGAACAGGATTTGAGATAATAAGCACATAACAAACTAGCAAAGACGGAACGATACGAATATAGAACCTCAGTTTCGGCCATGACACTTACGACTATTTAGATTTTTAAAATTAAAAACTGCTTTTTCTATTAATCGTCGATAAACAAAAATCTATTGAAAAATTAGATGGAGGAAAATAGTTCTATGATACATTGAGTACTTTAGATATTATAGAAAGAAAATTGTTGGTGTACTCAATAATTAAATGTACTTTCCTAGATATGCCTACAATTCATTAACGGCTCATTTGATTTTGCCCAAAATTGAAGAAAAGTTGGTTAATAGTATATAAATGATCTGTGATTACATCAAACTCCAGTTATTCATTAAAACCATATGTACATAATTGATAAGAATGTGACTGAGGAATGTTGCAGGCAGTGAACACAATACAATGGAGGTTATAGTTATACTACAATTATATAAGGATGATTTTTTTTTTTTAAACTGGACATAATTCCTACGTTCGTTAACTCCGTTTACTTTTTTCACTTAAGCAAGCGTTTTTTCTTGACAGGACTGATCTCAGCTTCTGCAGATTTTGTCCATAAACGGAAAATCTTAGTCATTAAATATAGCTAATTACATAACCAACAAGAATGATGAGGTAGCCATAGTTACATTATTGTCCAGATTTTTTTTACTGCAAAGTTGAAAAAATATTTAATGTTTCGTTTTTTCCAGTTATTAAAATCGGTAATCTTAACAATTTATCAATTGCATTTTTCTTTCTTCTACTTTCTTCTACATATCTTTCTTCTTTGACACTCCAGGTTTTCTATTGCCCAATCATATTAGCAGTGGTGAAGATTTTGTTAATTTGATATGATCATTAGCTATATTCCTATATATAACAAACAACAATTAAATTAAAAACATAAATAATAAGTGATTATCGTATCATATTGGAAAATATCCTTCCACTTTAATACTTAATCAATAAATACACAGCTTTCCCTGAACTTATACAAATACCTTATTGTACTCCCTCAAGACTATTTGTACTACTTGTTTGGTGGTGAAGAGCCCTTAGTTCACGTACTTAATAAGGGTGTAAAAGCCATACCTGGATATTTTCTTATTTATTAAAAATATCAAAAAGCTCTTTTTTAAATTATCCTTAGAGGAATTTAGAACTATTCTCCTAAAACCTTTTTAATAGATTTTTAATTCTTCTGAGACTAGCACAAACAACAGTATTTTAACTTTTTAACCTAAACACTTGATAAGTATTCCTAAGCGATCATAGCACCCCAGATTCATTCAGCTAGAATTACGATTTATTTCGAAAGTGGGACATTTTGGGCTTTATAACACAGGTTCTTGGGAACTATATTGGTTCTAAATGCCCGCTTCGAAATCTTTAAGACACAATGTATCCCGTCTCGATTCGTTGACTTTGAAAGCATCTGAGTTTTGACATCTCCCAATTTTTTCAACGACTTTTATTAAAGTTGCTGAAGGAATTTAAGGAGCTCGTTTAATAAAATCTATCGCTCCTAAGACGGAAAAGGGATCTATACTACTTTAGTATAAGTCGTGTGGATACTTAAAATAAATATTTAATCAGAATCATATTATTTTTATTTTTTGATCAAATGCTCTCTTCTAGATCGGATACTTCTAACTAGAAAAGATCCTCCATCATAAAACCTAAGTCAAACGAGGCAGAGGTTTTTCCAGCCCCCTCCAGTGTCTGGAAAGATAATAGACCATGAAACAAAACGGAATGCAAAATAAAAGAGGATGATACAAAAGAAGAGATAAAGAGCGGCGAGGATTGGAACTCGGAGGGTAGGAATTACACAAAGAGAACAATACTAATCTGGAGGGGGCTATAATTGCGGACCCCCCCACTCCAGAGGAGTCTTTAATTAAACCATCAATTTACGCCTGCCTTATCTGCTAAGACACTCGCCATCAACTCCTTTATTGCTTCCACTCAGCTCCTCCCTTTATTCACATTCTTATGAATTTTTTTCTTAGCTTTATGGCCAGTGATTATTCTACCGTGACGTACAAGGGGAGGGATGAGTTCAAGAAATCTGCAACCAAAAATAAATTAGATTTAAATTATTCATGCTGCATCGGATGGAATTCTAATTAATTTATTCAATTTCTATCAGTTCAATTATATTGATTGTTTTGTGATATAATCTTTTATAATCAGAGACTGGTTTTTATATTATAACAGAACCTCCAAAATGTAATGATAAATCTTAAAATATTTCAAATACGCAATTATTTTTAATGTATTGTTCATTAGCTGTACTTGGGGGCTTTTTGAATTATTCAGGCTTGATTCATTAATAAGATGAGTACATGGGCAAGGGCAACTAAATAACCGAAAAACACCTAAAATTGCGTGGAAAAACGATAACACTATTCAAAAACTAAAAAATATGACTAGACATTAAACATCTTCAGTTTGATTACTTTATAATAATTTTTTTTAAATACACTGTATATTTAATTATTTAAAGAAATTTTACTGTGCTTCAGCATAAAACAAATTTTTTTATTTATTTCTGAAATATAGATACATCGATGGCTCAGTTTAAAATTGAAAAAAGTCATAAGTTTTGAACAAACATAAAAAATTAAATGAAATATTCCATGATGAAATATCAATTTTTACACTTGTGCTGAAGGAATTTTTAAGTAGTGTAGATTTTGCCAAGGTTTATAAAATTACCTATTATAATACAAATTAAAATAGGTAATATTTTTTTTAAATTTATATAAATTAAATTAGCTATTATATATTATAACATTATAAAAATTAAATATGTAGTTTTATAATCCTTAGTTTTGTACTTAGAAGAAGAGATTACCGGCCATAGGTATCGGAAGACTAAAAATTACTGCTTTTAAACTGACAACTGATTTATTTCAGTTCGATGGCTCAGCTATATATTGGTTTCTCCGTCTCCTAATCTAAATAAGGCAACGCATAGCTGTTTGTGGAATATCCTTTCTTAAGTCGATTCCAATGTGCTTACATTAATGTGCTTGTAACATTAATTTCTTTGTTTTAGTGACTGCTTACAAAATAGCGTGATTTCCTACATAGTTTACAAGAATGGTTGTCATTCATTGTTATATTTTATTATTGCTAAACCTTTATGTTTTTACCTAAATGTTTTTATATCTTCGAAATTCGTCCTATTCTATTAACAAAAGCAGAAATATTAAAATCACACTAGAGATTTTATTGTAAATACAATTTTAAAAAATAAGAAAAAAAATATTCAAGTATGAAATTTTAATATTTTTAAAAGAAAAATAATCTTATTGAACTTATCATTTATATTTTAGTAATTACTCTTATTTGAGTAATTTAAATTAATAAAACTTCAGAACCATCCTAATCCTCTCATTTCTAACCTTTCTTCCTCTTCGATCCCTGAAAACCCTCAGAGGCGTCTGAAAAAAAGATGACCTCGAAATCTCCTTACTGTAAATACATTTTTTTTTAGAATGCTACCAGTGGGTAGTTTCTCAACAAGTGTTTTCATGTTGTTATTTTCTATTATCACATTTACTGAATGTATTTTAATTCTTAATACAGTTGTCAATATCATAAACAAATAAAAAAATAATAATAATAAAATTTTAACAAATATAGATAATTGAGTATATCTTTTTTTAAAAAAATGTTTTTAATGGACATACATATTTTAATGTACGTACGTGTTTAAGTAGAATTAGAAATGTATTTTCCTACAAAATCCTTATCTTGCTAGTATAATACATGCATTTGTAACCAGTAAATAATACTACTTCCTTGGGTTATATTATAAAAATGGTATATCAACATTAAATTCGAAAATCATACGAGACAAATTAAAAATCAGCACTTTGTTCAATAAAGATCATGTGTTCCATTTATTCTTTCTACTCTGGTTAAAAATATTATTTATTAGACTAAATCTATTTGTACAGCAAACTACCACTATAATATAAAATGGAATTATGCGAGGAGTCCTCCGAGTCTTGTGAATCTTCGGGAGTTCAAACTCAAAGTAATTCAGAATCACAGGATTCCGAAGAATGTTCGGAAAGCCAGGAGGGTTCTGTAAGCCAGGAGAGTCCAGAGAGTCAAAAGAGTTCTGAAAGTCAAAATAGTAGTGGAAGTCAAAAGAGTTCTGAATGTCAAAAAAGTTGTGGAAGTCAAAAGAGTTCTAAAAGTCAAAAAAGTAGTGGAAGTCAAAAGAGTTCTGAAAGTCAAAAAAGTTGTGAAAGTCAAAAGAGTTCTGAAAGCAAGCAGTCGTCTGAAAATGAATTGACAGTAACTTCGAAAGTAACAATAAGTATGTACATAAAAATGTATAATTATTGATAATAAGTTTTTGATCATAGAACTATTATGTTCAGTTTTTTTTATATATACAGCAATATAGGTTCATGTAGATTATAAATTAAATACGTAACTAAAATACAATTATAGCATTAGTAATACTTACGGTATTAGTAATAGAGCACTGCATTTTTTTTTTAATAGAATTTATATCCCTAACAAAATTCCTACATATAACAGAAGCGGAACTGTTTTATTGAGAACAAAGGAAATAAATTGATTATGATTCACGATAACATTAGTTTAAGTAAGCGGAGTTTTTGGTTATTTTAACCATTATTCAACATTTCAAATACGACAGTGATCAATTCTATTATGACATCATAGAACTTCACATCATGTAACAAATTACACATCAAAAAATGACGAAATATAAAACATTAAGCAGCATTTTTCAACTATAATTTAAATTTGAGAAACACTAAACATTTCGGTACTCGTCGGTTACAGAAACCCTAGTAATTATTACCTTCAACTATATTTTTTTTTGTATCTATGTGAGGTTGTTAGGAGCAACTAGCGCTACACGTGAAAGAAGTCATAAACCAAATGATAAGAAAAATAAATTTTAAAGAGCACTTTTAAGACACGATATTATTTATATTACATAAATTAAATACAATTTGTTTATCTAATCAATGTAAAACTGAAATTATGGTGAGTAACTTGAAATAATTTTAATCCTAGTAAACTTTTATCCTCATACTTTAAGGTTATTAGTAATTAGTGAAATAATTAGAGCTTTCCATAGACAACAGAATTCTAAATTTAGTTAACTCTCAACGAGCCCTTGATTTATGTGTGGAAAATATTATTCTTGATCTTTATTGAATCTTTAGAAGGGATATTTATAAAAAAAAAAAAAGTGATCTTTAGAAGAGGGTCTAATAGATAACTTCCCTACCAGTGTCCAAAAACGAATTCGCCAAGAAGAATAAAAAATTCTCGTATATGTTCCACCTCTAGATGTATTCATGTTTTTATTTGTCATCCTCTCCATACAAATTAAAAGTAAAATAAATAAAATCTACGCATTCCTGAAAAAGGTTTCGACCGTTCACAATTTCGTCGATGCTGAGACGTAGATTTCGTTTAAAGAAAGGGAGACTGCAAATAGTTTCATCTTAGCAATTATGTTGATCAATTTGACCTCCAATCCGACTTTAGAATTCTGTTCAAGGCGATTGTCGACTATCGTAAACCGCCAAGCGCACCTGTATTACAATTTCCGTTCCCAAAAACACAGAATGGGTACAGACCACACATGTCACGGACGGTTTATGTTAGTCGAAATTCGTGAAAGAAAACTATAAGATATTTCAATAAAAAAAATCTGGTGTGTCCACTAACACGACGTTTCTTCCTATTTCAGAAGTTTTTATATTTTTACATATGTCCATCAAGAAACAAAAACAAATTGAATTAGATTTATTTTCCTGAAAACTGATCAAAGAAAAGATTTAATAGTTGTCCAAAATGAACGATTATTATACAGATCTGTAGGGAATTTCATCACCTTTTATAAAAAACAGGCTAAAATATGTATTTTCTCGAGAATTTAGTCTATATACGAAAATTGAAAGGACAATCATTAGGACATTATAGGAAAGTTTCATCAAAATCGTTAGAACCGTTTTTGCACTACTGTCTCTTGACTATGTTTTTCATTTATTGCGCAGCAGCTATTGCGCATGGAGCATCCAATTTGTGTCACAGACAGAGTCAAAACCCAACAAAATAAAAAAAGGAACAACAAATCGGTTCAGTAGTTCCCGAGAAAATTTTAGCACAGACAGACAGTCCAATGGCTAACATTTGTTTTTCGGACTCAGGGGGCTCTGAAACGTATAGATCTATCAAAAACCGAATATCGAAAATTTGACCCGATTGCAATACTTTTCTTATCTAATATAGGTAGGAAAGTAAAAACTTAAATACTTTAACATAACCCCAAAAGCGCTGTCTGGTGGTTGAAACATTAAATAATGCTTGAAATAGTAGTTCAGAAACGCTACTCTAAGATGATAGTTGGTTTCAAAATCAAATAGAGCACACTATAAATAAAATTCCGAAACAACCCGAATGTTTGCGAAAGTAGATATCGACGAACGATCTGTACCCCTACGAAGCAGAATGTTTACGTTTGGTTTGGTTATGTTCTGATCACGTTCACTTATTTGTGTATAAAATGTTAATTATACATAAGTATAAATAGGTGGGTTAACCGATTTATCGAAATCTTTGTTTGATGTCCTTCAAAATTTTGACTTCTTCCATGTAATTAAATATTGATGTAATATTTAACATAATTTATATTTTTTCGACCAACAATAATCGATACCCCTTCTATTCCTTCTATTTTTTTTTCAGCGCAGTCTATAATTAAGAAGTTAGGAATTAAATAGTGATTAAATTGAAGCACTGTTGCAATCAAAACTTATATTTCAATTAATTTTTCATTTAAATACACTCAGACCCATTTGGACACATGGAATTGAGATTTGTGGCTCTACAAAATCATTGAATTCTTCCCGTATCCAATCCGTACAGTCTAAAATCCTTAATGCTCCTTATTAAGTCACAAATAAAATTATCCATAAATACCTCAACATTCCCTTTGTTGAAGACGTGGCCCGATTTTTTTTTTTTATCTTTATTCCTGAAACGCTTGATGATTTCCCACGCTCGCTTAAATACATAACAGGCGGAGGTATGTTTTAGCAGAAGACAGAGAGAAATCATTAAAGATTAAGAAGGAACAAACAAAACGTATAGGATATTAAAGATTTCGATACGGTAACAGAAGAACGAGACCAAGTGAGAGAAAATATAAACAAGACTAACCTTTATTATTTTCCTTGTCATAGAAAAGTATCTAAAATTTTCCATTGTATTATCAGTTTTCATTTTAGTGATTTAAAAAAATATATATATTCATATAACTAATTTTTTTAACATAATTTTTTTAAGTATGATGAATATTGCAGTTTACTCTCAGGAAAAATAACGTCATAAGGCTTTTATGAAAATAAATACTTCGTAGAACATTTTGATAGTGGAAAGATGAATCGGTAGGATGAATTCAAATGGATACACACAGCCTTAATCCTTATAATCGAGGTGATAGTGTGTGAAGTGAAATGTAATTTAATCAGATGTTTGTAGGCCTACGAGATCGGCAAGTTGTATTCATTATTGCTAACCTAGGATGAATGGGTTGAGGTATTAGCTGTATAAACTAATGTTACTTGGGATACAACCTTGAAGAGATGCCGACAGACTGAGAGAGATGAATGGGCCAATTTATGATCTTCCTTAGAAATTTCTATTTGTTAGGTACAAAGGAAGTATAATTATAAACTATTTTATAAGGGACTGAAATTATCTTTAGGGGAAGCACAAAAAAAAATCTATTTGAGGTTTTAACTTTAAATATAAGGCTCTATTGTATTTATTGTTACACTTTTTACATTTTTTCTTTTTCTAAGAACTATCAACAAACTTTCTTATTCTTCTTCATTTATAAGTAAACTTTTCGTCCATCATCATGGCCTGTTTATTTAATTTATTTGGGTTTTGTCAATTTCAAAAGTAAGATAAATTTAGGAGATATAGAAAAAAACACTCTTTATAAGGCTCTGTCATATTATAATTTCTATAGGCCAAAAAAGAAAGAAATTCTTATGCTTAGGAATAATCTAAATTACAGTTGGCGTTATGAAATGATACAATTACTAGATTTATTGAACTGTTGCTCTTATTATGAGGGGTGTTTGTTAGTGTTTCCATTTAGTATGAAGGATTTTGAAAATATAAAATCTACACTAAATATCATAAGGTGAAACCAATCCTTTTTCCAGTCCTCAGGAGCGATGGATTTTGATGAATTAGGTATCAAAATGAAGTAAATTTTATGGAGAAGTGACTAATCCTAATTTAAATACCTCGCCTGCGATATACTTTGCCGCAAAAAGTCATCGGGTATCATTTTAAAAAATAAAACCACTTAATACTATAATAGATACTTCTTAAGTGAAACGAAAACATTTTGCACTTATCGTAAATAGTTTTGGCATATAATATAGTTTGCGTTATTTTGGTGGACTGAAGTAACATTAGCGTCTAAACTACTAATAGTATAGAAGCCAATTACTGAAAGTATAGATGCAATCTCACTTACTAAGAGCAAGAGAGCTCTATAACTGAGATTCTCAGTCTGAGAATTCGGTAGCCATACCAGGAATTTTTTTTTATTTATTAAAAATATTAAAACGTTTCTTTCTATATTATCCGAAGATATCATAGAACTATTCTCGGCCATTTGCCTTTTGTACTGGTTTTTAGTTCGTTAAAGATTACCATAAATAGCAATATTTTAATTTTTAAAACATAAGCACGTGATAGATATTCCATGGCAACCATCGCATCCATGAGACTATATGCAAGCATTACGATTTACATCGAAAACGGTACATTTTAAGACTTGATTAACCCTTTAGAACAATACCAGGTCCTGATGTACCTGATGATCAAAATCTTTAGAACACACTTCATCACGTATTGATCTGGAATCTTTTAAAGTCATCCTTTTTTTCCTATGGTATTTATTATTATTTTAATAAGATTTTACGTTTTAAAATTGAGATTCTGACATTCCAACTCATCTTAACACCATCATTATCACATGTGCTGACGACATAGTGTTTTCAGTTACTAATCATCCATTTACTGTTTCTCAAACTCTTCAGTCCTGTATTACAAATCTTGGAGAATGGTATTGAAATTGTAGGATTAAAATAAATTTCATCAAATTCAATAAAATCACCTTTACTCTTCGTCGAATCTCGCTGATATAGATCAGCTATCTCTTACATATGGGGAGCGGGGTAGCTCCGTGGGTGAGCACTGACATCCGGAGCTCAAGATCCTAGGTTCGAATCCGGCTAATGTCTAGTAATTTTTCATTAGCCGTGGATCGACCCAGGGATCGGGAGAACCCTCCTGGGGCACACCTAGCCTTTATAAAATGGGTACACTTAATTAAAAAATAATGAAGGGGAGAAAACATGGCGGTTGAGCGTGATATCGGCCCCACCACCTCCCTTTACAACCGTTGGCCTTGTAGCAGTACTTCCTCACATTGTACTGAACGCAAGACCCTTTATGGGTTGTTGTGGTATAGGTTTGTTTTGTTTTTTTATCACATATATATAAGACTCCATCTAGACAAACGTCTTACTTCATACTCTCATGCAAGACTGAAACGACAAGTAACTGAAATTCGTTTCGGGTTACTTTAACACTTGCTATAAATACGCTCCATACTTCTCATAAAGACTCACTTACTTGATATTAGTAAAACCTATTAGGACTTATGGAGTTGGGCTTTGGGACTCTATTAAACTATCAAATTCCTATCTTACCCTTACTGTCGAAAATCCTTCGCCAAATCCTTAATATTCCATAAGTTTCCGATTCGTTACAATATATCCTTTCATGATAAACTTCAGGCCGGATCTTCTAATATTGAACTATTGGAGAACTATCAATGGTAGAATACTAAAGTTTTCCTACAAGTCTGTCCATGTCGTTATAGCAATTCACAGTTACTTCTATTTTTAGTTGATACAATAGTAAATTTCGCTTCGCCGGTACATATATTAAAATTGGAACAATTGTTAATTTCAAGAAACAACCTTCCCTACTACTATCCACTACCTTTCGTGCTACTAACCTTCACTTCTTCTTGAAACTACCTTTCGTTTATAACTACCTTGTTCATCAAAATCCATAGCTCCTGAAAGCCAGAAAATGAATCTATACGGTATTATATATATATATATATATATATATATATATATATATACATATGTGAGTGTGTGTGTATGTACAATACAAAATATTTTGAAAATTATAAATACAATTTCAAAAACAACATTTGGAGAGATTAAAGGGTTAACTATTGCAAAGAGGATGCATTTTGGTTAGGGCAGATATATAAATCGATATAGGAAAGGGCCGCAAGAAGAAAATCCCCTTAGGGGAGGGGGGCAGCATGAGCGATTCCCCTTAAAATTGGCTGGAGAGCAGCGGGGTGAAAATATCAAAGAAAATGGGCCCCTAATCGTTCTCATATATAACTGGGCGAGTAACTGACCGTAGTCGGGTCGGTAATGACGTCACGGCTAATGCCCGGCTAAAACCTTTCATTTATCAAACTGGCAAAAAAGGAGCTGTTCCCTCCCAGCTAACTTCCACATTGTCTCCGTTTAAGCTTTCATTATTAATTTAATATTTAATATGTGGTCAATTTAACAAATATATAATACAGATACTAGTAGTGGAAGATCATTTTATTATGTCATAATACTTTTAAATATTATACAATAATAAATTATAAACGCGTTACATTAGTTCTTGTCTTGAAAAAAAAAATTACAATTCGAATAATCCGCAGAAAATTTTGTTTAGTGAATAAACAACAAAACAATATGGAAATAAGTAGATCACATGTATTATGTAAGGAAGGACTTCATATTTTTTCCTTGGTCGATTACAATATTCTATTTAACATAATAGACCAAAATATTTGTACAAATTGATTTGCTCGGACCTTTTTTTAAACGATCACTGGAAATATAATAAGGGTAATAAAGATAAAATAAAGCCTCGATCAAGATGTTTTCTAAATTATTAAAAAAACTATAATGTAAGAACAAATAAATGCCTTTGAGAAATCCTGTGGTGTGATTATTTTTTTCCAAAACGAAAAGAATCTGAATATCTAAAAAAGTGGTGTGAAAATTACTTTATTTCCGAAAACCCGGGCTTTTTATTCAATAAATGAAATGAAACTTGCATTTCTTAAAAAATCATCAATTTCTTTTTTAACTGTTTAATTTTTTTAAAAAATGTAATTTTATTGTATCATTAATGTGAGCTAAAAGGAAATTTTGTATTGGAAATTGGAAAAAGAACTCTTGGCCAGATGTGGTTTTTATTTTTTATTACTTGTTATTAACAAGTAATAATAAAACATTATTAATTAATAATTAAACTTTATTAAGTAATAATAAAAATTAATTTTTTATTGGATTTTTTTAAAGATAATATTTTATTACATTTTGCCACATTCAAGGGCATTAATATTAGGGCTACAGTAATCATTTACACAATATGTACATACAAATAATAATTAAAATAGAAGAATTAAAGATAACAAAATAAAATAAGAAGACTAATATACATATGTACAAAAAGTTAAATAATAGATAGAAGCTAAATGAAAAAATAAAAACGTATGATCCAAATTCTGAAAATATTTGTAAATGAATATATTGTTTATTAATTTTATAGATATCAAACAATACTTCCTAAGCATTCAAAACTAATTTCAACATGCTAAAAAATAATAAATAGAAATTATTTGTCTGACTCCTAACTTTAAAATAAATATTCTGATCTAACGAAAAATTCACATTTATATCTAACACACAATATAATCCTTCAATACGTTTTTAGTTTATTTACCTTACAAAATTAATTAAAATCATGTAATAAAAATATCTACTTTCAATTATAAACATATTCCAAGAAAAATTATACCAAAATAATTTTTAAATACTTTTTTGTATAATGAGGTGTGGGGTAGGGAACTTATTTTCCAATGCTTGAGGTCCCGGGTTTAAATCCCGGCACATGGCAGAAAAAATATTTATTCTGCTTCATCAGCCGTGGGGAGACCCAGCCTGATCTCAGTCAAATCACCTCCTTATACAACCGTTGACTAAGAAACTGTTCTTCCCTAAAAATAATACTGAATCCCAGACCCTTTATGGGTTGGTAGTGGTATAGGTTTTTTTTTTTTTTTTTTTTTTTTTTTATGTACAACTTCCTAAATAAAGTACTATTCCTACGTTTTATTCTCACACGTGTTTTATCACACCAAACTAATATCTAAATTATCGATGTTATTATCGAACATACCCACGAAAGTATTTACAAGGGAAGGTTATTGTTAATTAAGTAGTGGTTTGTTAAACTTCCGACTATAGAAAATATTAAAATGTGGAAAAACATTTCTGTACCTTAGATTCCATCGCATATCCTCATCAGTTGCGGTTATCTATTTCTCCTTCCCTGGATGGTAAGACCCCGATCTCCACTTACATAATAAATAGTTAGGAAATGTCTAGTTTTGAAAGAATGGAAGGCAACAGTTGTGATCTACTTAATCCTATAATAGTTCTAACCATTATTAATAACCCAATGAATGAGATAAGGCGAAAACTCCCTTTCTACTATCAAACTAATCCTCAAAGTACCAAAATTTACAATATTTTCTTCATTACAACCCAATGTAACAAGTTTTTTTTTTAATAATGTGATTCAACCATTAATGTTTAATCGGGTTAATCTTAATTACCCGCCTTTCAAACAAATGTTAAAAAAAGATTAGAACTGTCGAATTCTGCTCCATGATTAGGATCCCATTTGAAGTTTTGAGTGGAAAAATTAATAAAAGTCATATGGGGATAAAAAAGTCGACTCACACCTGTTATTTATTATAATGAAATTTTCACTTAAAAATTCGATGTCAAAATTAACAAAATAAAAAACTTCACATATCACAAAATTTAAAAATAATGAAACTTTCAGTTGACATCCCTTACTGTACCTGTGAGTCCCACGGAGGTCATTCAACTGACTACCGACGGAAGAAGGCGAAGATGATTCCTAGGAGTAGAGCTATCAGGGCGAAGCACCACCACAAGGGCAGGAAGCCCAACTACTATTGCATCTGCAACAACCCCAACCGACCTTGCATATGCAACAAGAAGCCCAGGCTTCCGCCGCCACAAAAGATGAAGCGGGAGATCCTCAGGAACGGCCAGAAGTACACCTACCTTCCCAACTGGCTCGTCGGTAGGCTAATAGACATATTTAAAGAGCAAGAGAGGAAGAAGTCAAAGTCAAAGTCGAATTCAAATGTCAACATGTCAGATCCGGAAATATTAGCCCTTGGTGTGAGGAAAGGGGAACGGAAGAGGAAGTCAGATCCTCAGAAGAAGAAGACGAAAGGCCACAACGAAGAGAATAAGCCGCAGCAGCAACAGCAGCAGCAGCAGCAGCATCAGCAACAGCCTCAGCAGCATCAGCAGCATCACGGGGAAAACAGGAGCTAACACCTTGGGTCCCCTCTAAGTTTGTCTTTATCATCATGTTCTAAATTGTCTCCAATATACCTACATGTTTTTTTTTTTATTTAATGAATTGTTTTGTTTTCGATCAAACTTTTTTTTCTATTTTAAGTATTAGCCAGTAATTCACAATACGACACGGATTATTTGTTGATATAAGCACATTAACCTGTAAATAGCGAATAAGAATATTTTGTTCCAGATTAGTGTAACACTCGGAAATATTTTTGTGTAAAAATCTATTCTACCTAGCCTATCTATAATCTAACCTTATTGTAATTTCATATATAACCCATGATTCTGGGATTAAGGGGATTGTTCTAAATTTCATTGCGACATTCATGCAAAAGCCTATAAGTACAATTTAATTATAATGTGCTATTTCGAGCTTTCCCAGTTAATCTTGGCCTCCAATATATTCATAAAAACAAACTAGAAACATTATTAAGAACATTTGATCTTTGTCTTAATCATATAATAAAAATTGAACGAAAAATCTATTCCATATAATAACAAATGCAGTGTTTATTTCTTCTTATAAATAATTTTATATTTTGCACTTGGAGTGTGGCTGTCGATAATTGCTGCTGAAATTCTAGACACTGATACAGTATAACATATTTCATCCAAACTAAAGTTAGTCCCTTTAGGTAAAAGTAGTTACATCTCAATTCAAGGGAATTTAAATTGGTCATTTTCGAAATATATGCAGATTTACACAGTTAATAGATAGCTTTAACCATATACTGCATTGTGTCTTAAAATATTTATAACGCACTGTGTTAACACTGGATTAATGATTCAGGGCCAATTCTCCCTGTCAAAATGATTTTATGCACTTATTCAACTCAATTTTTAAGTCTGTGCACAGAAGTATTTTACTTATTAATTTGTTAAAACCTCTTAAATATTTAAATAATACCAGAAGTATGATATTTATTTCACTGAATTCTTAATCCATGAAAATATTTAATTTTATTGCTTGTTACCATTAAAATTATTATTTTTTAATATTTTCTTATCTAGATTTTCTGCAAGTTGATTTAGGTTTAATAGTCCTCACCTAATCACAATAATGCTTGATTTGCTTAATACTCATAATCATTAAATGTGACATTGTTGAACAAAATAAGCGTCATGAGTGTTACATATGACCCATTATTAGTTCTTCTGAAGGTGACTAATTCATGTAGTAATCTAACTAAGACGAATTGGATGGCACATTTTATTTATTACTTATACAATAAATATCATGCCAGCTAATATCAGTAAATGATATCTTGCTCCAGGAAACCAAATTGAATAAATGTTCAAACCATTTCATTTAAAGTAAATTATCAGGGTAAGATTCGTGAAAATAGATTAAAATACTCATCATGCTACTCTGGTATTTAATCTTGTCTTCCTCTATAATTACACTTGGCTCAGAAGACCTAGAATTTGGTCCCAAAGGCCTAGCCTAAAAAGGTCCAGAGGCCAAGAATTTGTTTCTAACTAAAAATAAAATTACTTACTCGCCAACCTTACAGAAAGTGAATTCACATAAATCTCTTTCAAATCCAAATAACACTTGTAATAGATTCGTAGAACAGACTAAAACTTGATAAACCAGCGTTGTAACAATATATGTTTTGGGCCATCTTGCATTACCTAATCTAACTAGTACTCCTAAAACAAATTACCACAATCCTTCAATGAAATAATCTATTACCAGTTGGTTATAATTACATTTTCTTTATCTGTAAATTTTAAAATCATCTCCAAATTAAAATTAGAAAAAGCAAAAGCTGAAACTGTTACCCACGCACTGCAATATTGTACAAATTTTAAAAATGGCCCAAATATTTTAAATTATGTGATATTATCTTCTCAATTAATATATTAAATTTTCATTTAATCTATTTAACTGACTTTTTTCACTGTTTTATAGACAAGACTAGTTCTCGTTTTTATTATTATCTTTTCATAATGTAAGTAGAGGTAAAAATATCTATGCAAAGGCACTGGAAAATTCGGAAAAAATAAAACTGTCTAAAACACGATCTTTCTAAAGATTTTCAAGGTTATAAAATCTTTGTCAAAGTATTATTATTGGTTGAAGTTAACAATCACATGGGCTGCAATGGTCGTTGTCATGGATTTAGAGCGTTGAGATTTATTAAATGATTCCTCCAGCTGATCATATTGCCTAGAAAGGAAACAAAGTTCGCTTTGTGCAACTTAGAAAACCTTTACAACCGTGACCTAAGAATAATCTTATTGACCCATTCTCCACAAGTAGATGGATGCTTTTTATATACAAATTTGGAACGCAGAAGAACAAAAACTACAGACGAGAACATTGTATTGAAACCTTTCTGTGGATGTTAGATGACAAATAAATAAGCATTTTTGTGCTTCTCTATTATTCAGCACTTGAAGTAACATAAAATAAATTTAATGACCAGAATTTAAAGTTCAAAAACTATGAACTGGGTTCCACTTTGCAACAAAAGACAACAAACTAAGACCACCGCTTCTGATACAAGTGTGAGTCCAACTTCAACACGTTCGACTATCAAGAAAAAGTAGGAGTTCGAAATTATTGCTTCAATCAGGGCAATAAGTGCTAAGGTTGGTAACCTTGTAATAAGCCTATACTAGGTTACCAACCTTAGCACTCACATTAACATCATTTAGCAAATTATAACTATCTCATATTCTCTCTCACCTAATATGAACGTTAAACCCAAAGAAACAGCAAACAAATTATCTAGAGTATTAGACCGTCTTGTTAAATTACAATGACCTATAAAATCTGATAAATTAGATGCAAGTGAACTCGAGTAAAAGTACTTTTATAATATTATGAATTTATTAATAAACTTCTTAATATAGTAACCAACAACATATACGAACTAATAATGATTGTTCCAACATGTAAAGAAGAGTTTAGTTTAGACCATTCGATTTAAATGGCAATAGACTATGTCGAATACAAATGACCACGTGATAAGAAAATTAAATTAAAGAAGATGGCATAATACTATAGCAATACATTTTATGAGATAGGGAATGATTGAAAGAAATGAAGACAGGTAAATAGGACAAAACCTCTATGGAACGAGTATATCGAAAAAACAACTTCTATTAATCGTCAGTCACACAAGTGCACACTTTCTGGGAATAAAATGCGATCAGTACTATTTCTCTGAAAGTCAATTTCTCGAAGGTTACAATACTATTACGGTTTACATTATTTTGATATTAGTATTTCCCGCTCATATCATTCATATTTCTGAGCCTATCGAATGGACATGATAGACGTTAGAGACAAAGATGTGAATAAGTGAAAAGTGAAATGCGATATAATTCTAATTTGAGTTAAAGCTGAGTAAAAACATTTGAACATTAATAAATTGCCGATTATCTTCACTACTGTCACTGCAATCTTGGACACGAGTTCGTATAGTCTGTATTTGGCAAAAGTTAATTTATACTATTTTTGATAAGAATCGGCGGCCTATATTGTGACCCAATGAAGTTAGGTCCAGGCAGTGAAGTCAGTGAGGAAGTAGTCAAAAGGTTTAAGAAATTTTATGTGAATATTCTTTATTTATTTCTGGAAGATTTTAATTTATTTTTGAGGAGAATTTTATCGGGTTTCATAAGAGCTGTGCCACTACAACCCATGAAGGGTCTTGGGTTCGGTACAATGTGAGCAAGTACTGTTACAAGGCCAACGGTTGTGCAGGGAGGTGATGGGGCCGATATCACGCTCAACCGCCAGGTTTTCCCCTTTAATTAAGGATACCCATTTTTTAGAGGCTGGATGTGCCCTAGAAGTGATATAGTAATATAATATTAGAAAATATTTACAATAAATGATAATTCCCAGAAAAATCTCATTTATACCAATAACATTTCATATAAACAGATTTCGAATGACATAATCTACATGAAATATGATCCTCTACTATGAAATGACTGTCCCAGAGAGAAGGGTTCAGATGAGGCCACACCGCTTGATCCTTATAAAAGGTTATTAAGCCTGCGACCACACGAAGAGGGGGGTAGAAAAATTTCGGTCGGCCATTTTGGTTGAGGAGACGAGAGGATTATAGGATTGCGGAGACTAAGTCCCCATATAATAGGGAGGACTCCTCATATGGGAGGGTCCTCCTTAACTGAGAATCAAGTGCGTCTTAGCTCTTAACTACCCTCCCAGCTCCAGCCTCCCCCCACAACTACCAACATCTTGTGGCTTCATTAACTAAACAAATGTGAAATCGAGCACAGATCCTTCTTCTCAGTTTTGGCTGTGACTTCAAATTTGGAAAATGATGGGAGCTATCTATCTCTTCGGTCCTTATTGATGTGTTACACAAATAAATATTATTTAATCAGATTATGACCTTTTTTTCTTAAACAAATATTCAATTGCACCAGAGGGTGGGGAGCCGAATGGGCTAACGAGTGTGCACAGCACCACGAATTACCCGACAACCAGATAACTGAAGTTATGAGAGGTTATGAAGCACGAGTTCGCGTCCCGATGCCGGAAGGTATTTTAAATTTCCCTCCCTCAACCTCCGGCCATGAAAAATCCCATATAGCCAAAAGGTGAAAAAGAGAAGAACAAAAAAAAAAAATTCAATTGGACTTTTACAAGATTCTCCTTGCACTACTCCTTAAACATTTTAACACATTGCAACCTCATAGCAATGTTTGCATGAGAAAATCGCAATTTTTTTTTTGTCGTAACTTCATCGAAGTGAAGTAGTGTTTATTTTACATCGATCACATCCTGAAACAAGATTATAGAGGTATAGGTGATGATGATGATGATATCTATCACAATGAAACCGAAGACTTTAAAGAAAATACTAAAATAGCTGTACTCCTTTTAGTCGTATTTTTCACTAAAAGCTTCGGGAAGGCATTGGTGGTGCATTTTATACTCGCGTTAGAACTTCTAGAACACGATAATGGAGATTTCTTTGATT